CTTGGGTGTGATAGAACTAGAAAATGTCCATTATTGCTTTTGGAGCTGCTATGTCCTCAGCCTCATTGGCTCTGGGCTTCCATCTGTAGGTGTGTCTATACAGCTCCAAATCATCCCATTCAGAGACACCACAACCTCTTTTCTCTCACAGAAATTATGGTGTAGGCATTGTCTCCAGCTACCGGTAACAGAAGTCTTGCACTGAGATAGTGCCACTGTACCTTTAGATGCCCCAAAGTTACATCTCAAAGTCATAAATGACTTGATCAGCCACTGTCTAAAAGGATATGCACTGTCCCCATTGATAATCAGTGAGATGGTAACCTTTCTTTGTGGGGCTTTCAGGGACAAATTGACCAGAGCCCATAGATGAATGGACTGCAGAGTTCATACATAGCCAATGGTGAATTCAACTGCAGCCTATTTCAGTGTCAATGAAGCATCCACTCTAATCTGCCATATTCTGGAGTATCAGTGTAATGAATTCCAAGAAATATCCTTGCCACTTTGGAAAAACGTATTAGCCTATATTGGGCATTATGTTGAGGAGTCATTCTGCAGATTACATTGCCAAGTAACACTTTCAATAGCATCAATTAAAATAGCATTTCCTTCAACCAATGCTGCATGTCCTGCCTTTCCTTGGCCCTTAGTCCATTGGATCATGGTGAGATGGATGACTGACTAACTAACTAACTAACTAACTAACTTAATTAATTAATTAAATGAGAAATTCAAATCCCTAACATATTTCCTATGAATCTAACTCAAAGGCTATGAAAAACATCCCATAGTAGAAAGCTTAAGTACTTTCTGAAGTTTCTGAAGCCATAGTCTCCAATAGATCATGCTCAATCTGCAGAGAAACCTCTAGCATGATAGAGATTCTTCCTAAACCAATCTCATAAGCAACGTCCCTGCATGGTGGCTTTATTGTGAACAATCATTGAGTAATAGACATGCTTTCTTCCACTGGATTGCAATGGCATAGCATTGGGTTTTGCCTTCAGAGTTGTGGCAAAGCTAGTCTCCATCTCAGAGAGGGTATTATGCAACACCCTGAAGTTAGCAACCTACCATTCATCATCTCCAACAGTCAATACAGCCAAGGCAATGGGGATTGACTCTCTGCTGACAGGGATATGCCTCTGCTACAAAGTCCCCCTTAGGAGCTCAATAGTCCAAATGAGCCAGGAGAGAACAAAATGCATATCACAACCGGGTTGCCCCCTTCCTCCTTGCCATTTCCGTTTCCTTTCCCAGGCAGCCTGGAAACCTAGAAACTGGGCTGCTCTGTATTGGGGATTAATTTCAAAACTGATGTTCATGCTGCCTCCTAAATGTATATAAATATTATTATGTTATTAGTGTGTAGTATTAACATTGTTGTTGTTGTTGTTAATTGCGAAGTCGTGTCCGACCCATCGCGACCCCATGGACAATGTTCCACCAGGTCTTCCTGTCCTCTACCATCTTCTGGAGTCCATTTAAGTTCACACCTACTGCTTCAGTGACTCCATCCAGCCATCTCATTCTCTGTCGTCCCGTTCTTCTATTGCCCTCAATCTTTCCCAGCATTAGATAAATGGCCCCAAATCACCTTGTGATGAGATGGGCAGCATCAACCCAATGCTATGCCATTGCAATCCAGTGGAAGAAAGCATGTCTATTACTCAATGATTGTTCACAATAAAACAAAAAAGCAAATATGGTACGGGAATAGCAGTTCTGGTCTGAAAGGCTGAATGGAGTACTGTGATGCAGATTGATTGCTATCACCACTGGGCACCATAGAGCAGGGACACATAGGCATGTTGCCAGTGGTGGGATTCAGTCGGTTCGCACCAGTTTGGAAGAACCGGTAGCTAATTTTTTTGTTGCCCAGGCCCAGAATGGACTTCTGGAAGGGGCATCCACACAGAGAACAGGTTGTTCACATATTTGAATCCCACCCCTGCATGTTGCCAGTTACTGTGCTACTCTTGGGGTCTTCATTTCCACAGGTGCTGGCTGGGCTATACATTCTGACATCCTGCATTGCAATCATTGTGCTCCTAAATCCAGCAATTTCATATTTCACTCTTTATGTTTTATGTTGCTCAGCTCTAAGCAAGTCACACTGGTTTTTGTATTTTTTCTTGCATGCTGGCCTAGTCCTTCCCTTCTCTGGTGAAGGATGATTGGCCTATCTCCCAAGAAATTTTGAAGTGTGTTGCAATTTTCAATTGAGGCACCTGTCCTTTTTCTCTGGCCCTGTGCCTGCCCCTGCAGAATCTCTTATGAATGAAAGTAATCCTGTAATCTCTCGTGAATGAGTGTAATACTTGCACACCTGTGGAAAACTGACATTGGGGTGCAAGTGTTCCCCTGCTTTATCTGAGAAGCGATCTAACTTTATTCTTCTGGCTCCCCTTGACTCATCCTGGGAACAGCCACTTCCGGAGTTTTGGGCTGTTGCTCATGTTGAAGGCTGGGTTGTGTGCTTGACATGAATCTTGATTAAACTCATGAATGATTCCCTGTCACATAATGAGCCACTTGGATTCTGCTGCCAGCTATTAGGTGAAGCAAGAAAAAAAGGTAACTGCCCAGGGAAGGAAAGATAAAGAAGGGAGCAAAACTGGATGAATGTGAAGTCAGGAGAAAAAAGTAACTGGATACGAAGTGCTTGGAAAAAAAATGGACAACTCTACTAGACTATCCTAGATGTGGATTGAGCAACTATGACATTTCTAAATTTATGAGAATAATAAACAGTGCTCCATCCTCCAAATAGGTAAGGCATGAAGAATAGAAATTATTTCAAATTCCCTTTGGATGCAAGAAAAAAAACTTCGAGAGACAAAAGGAATAGCTTTGGAACAGTCATGAAAGCTCAGTTGCAACAGAGAGATTGTCGGCAATGCCCTTCAGATCTATCTTTCAATTAATCCAAAACAATTTCTGCAAGCTTCCTTAATCCCATGACCTTTTAATAAACTAGCACGGTGTGGATGAGATTCAACTGTTGAGAGGAGGAAAACTCATTGGGAGCACCTAGTTGAGGCCTTTAAGGTGGAATAATTCTGATGAGTTCACATCATTTTATGATGATGTTGACTTTCATTTGTCCATCTTAAATAAGATATAGTTTAAGGTTATAAGAAAAATTCTTCAATCAGTTGATGGTTTTTGGAGCCCAATGTTGCTTGGTTTGGTTAGTAGATGATTCCAAAATATTTAGCTACAACTTTTCCCCAGCTTTGAATTCAAAACATCTAGAAATGCCAGGACTTCACCCTAGAGCCAATCTCATAGAATAGCTACAGTATGAATAAAACTATATGAATAAAATTAGTGTTCAGAGGAGTTCATGCCCATCATCCTATGTTTCTTATGCTCACTATGTCAGTCAATATTATAAAAAGATAAATATTATTTTTAATTCAGAAACCATCCTTAACACATGCATTTATGAGTCTTAATTTTTTTAAAATGTTAAAATGTGCCTGATATTCCTGAGGGTTTCTCTGTATTGCAAAAGTTTATTTGAAACAAAACTGAGATAGCAGTAAAACTATGTTAACAGTTATATAAGTATTCTGCTTTTTTAACCCCAGACACTAGCTTCAAAATCTTTCCATAAACATGGTAGCATAAAATAGCTCTCTCAACTGATTAGATTTTATTTCCAAGAATTTCCACCCAGCCCAGGGGTGAATTCTAGAATTTGATGCTGAGGGCTCGAGATTGGAGGAATGATTATTAAACTTCAGCAAGGGATGGACTTATGTATTTGGTAGTGTGTCTCAATATCACCTAAATCAACAATGGAATCAGTGCTATGACAAAGTAATGGGCCATTTCAACACAGGTGATGGAGAAGGAATGGCAGAATCTGGGGACTGAGTCAAAAGAGGAATCGGCCACAGATGAAGTCCAACCCCACTTGAATACCGTTAACCCTTATCTAGTGCCAAAATAGTGCTTTTAGTTGAGTAGATTCCTGTGCATAGGTGTGAGCAATATATCAGAATTACACTACATTACAGAATAACAGAGTTGGAAGGGAGCTTGGAGGTCTTCTAGTCCAACCCACTGCTCAAGCAGGAGACCCTATACCATTCTGGATAAAAGCGCTGTCCAGTCTCCTCTTAAAACCACCCACAACTTCTGGAAGTTCAAGTGTGGTCCTGGTCTTTCACAGCTGACAACATGGGATTGATACTACCTTATAGCGTCACTCAGACACAGCTGTAATGTTACATTGACACATGTGTAGGATTAGGCTACCAATATAAAAATGGCCGTAGACAATGCTGCATTGACTCTTGCCTCTGGTCCCCAGGTTTTTTGCTAAATGAAATGGCCAATCTATCACAGGTTTTGAGTTGGGATGGAGGACCTTTTCATATGTCTTCTTTGATTTAACATTTTAGCTCATAGCTAGTTATTTAATATTTGTAAAAGTCAGCAACATGACCAGTGTTAAGTGCACATGCTGAATAACTGTTGTACACTTACCACCATATGTGCCAGTTTGCTACTTGTAAGATTGCAACATAGGTGCATTCGTTGTTCTTCAGGTCTGCTCTCTGGATTCTCAGAACAAAATGAGAATTTGGCAATGCCCATTTTTCCCTCAGTAGCTCCCTCCACTCCAAGCTCAGTACCCGGGTTGCAGCTGAGATACAAAAATTGACCCAGGAGAGGCGAAATAAGTGTTCTAATTTTGACCCAAGAAACAGGGGGCCTGACAAATGCTTGGAAGTTGTGCAGGCCCCAACTAAGCCTTCCTCCTCTACCTTTGAGCTCTTTCTCCTGTGGCACCACAAATATGCATCCAAGATTTGATGGCATTTCATGGCACAGATTCCTGTTCATCAATTCCATGACCTCAGCTACTAAATTAGAGCTTTACAAATCACTAATTGCAAAAGAGGTATTGAGAAGTATTGTTATGAAAGGGTTTATGTTACCACAATTGAATCTCCCCTGTTAACTACAGGAAACAAGCCTTACTTCATACCAGACATGTCGCTAGAGAAAGGCGTTGCCAGGGGAAGTAAATGCTGTGGGTAAGTAACCCTCTTTTTCTTCTTTTCCAGGGTTGCATGAAAGATATTTATAACTGACAGAGTTTCATGAATTCTGTTTGTGACTGGCAGATTGTAATTTCGTATGAAAGCCCTGTATTCTAAAGGTAATATTTCAAGAATATTAAGTAACAAGGAGCAAGCAGCTGTGTCTGATTTAGGAAATCAGATCAGTGGCAAACAACTTGGTACTCTCCAGAAATTCTGGATCTCATCAAGGTGGCTAGGTCTGATGGGAACTAGAATCCAAATATCTAGAGGAGGGCAACTTGCCTCACTTTTATTCCCTCTAAAGACTTACTTCTAAAAAAAAAAAAAAAAAGCAGTGTATGGATAAATACGGCCAGGAGCAAAAGGGGACTACATGAAGTGTCCCTTTTAGTATATTCGACTCCATTTCTCTTGTTCCTGAAATGTGTTTTGATTGGTCAACATTCCATGGCCATTAAGCATGTTCACTTCCAGAGAGGGAGGGGGGAGGGAGGGAGAGAGAGAGAGGGAGGGAGGGAGGGAGAGAGAGAGAGAGGGAGGGGAGAGAGAGAGAGGGAGGGAGGGAGGGAGAGAGAGAGAGAGAGAGAGAGAGAGAGAGAGAGAGAGAGAGAGAGAGAGAGAGAGAGAGAGAGAGAGAATTCTGAGTTTCCCCAAAGCTGCCAACCCCCTCCTTCTTCTATGTGCAATGGTGCTCTCATTAATGAGCAACAGCATTCAGGTCTGAACATAAAAAACGGAAGGAGTGATTCTTTGACCTAAGCAGGTACCTCCCTCTCTATTTTTGCAGGAATAATTGTTCTAATGCAACTTTCCAATTAGGGGAGGCAAACCCAGAGCAATAAGACATATAGAGCCAAAATAGCCTGTGAGGGCAAGTCATCCTGCTATCTTTGCCTATGCATCAGGAATGTCTGTACAGTCCAGTAATCCAGTAAAATGGCTTCATAAAAAAAGTAATATAAAGAGGCAGTGAGAATAGTGCTTCTTAGGTGCACTGTTAATAAGTCATCTCTGTATGCAAAAAAAGACACAAACACTTTCATTCTTCACCAGCTCCCACCCTATTGCTATTTTCATTACCCTCTGGATGTCCAAGACATCTTTTTGCCAGATAGCATCTATTCTTTCTTTGCAGGTCAGTTCCAAAACGTGTCCTGCAGAACGCATTCACACAGGGGGGTGGGTGGGAATACTTAATGCACAAAGTTGCTCTTGAGGCATTTTTTAAGACTAAATGGTCCATGAGTAAGATGCAGATTTTTCTGTCTTGCCACTATTCTATACAGCTTCAGCATCATGTTATTCTTGTTTGTCTGGAGGCATTGTTGAAAACATACATTGCTTCTCCCCCTTCAGCCATATAGCCTACTATATAGGTAAATATCTTTAGGCAGAAGACAGTGCTGTAAGAGTTAGGTATTTAGCAGAGTGATGGCATGGGGGAAGAAACTATCTTTGTGTCTAGTTGTTTTGGCATGCAATGCCCTATAACAGCATCCTGAGGGAGAAGTTGAAACAGTTTATGTCCAGGTTGTGAGGGGCCTGTAAATATTTTCTCAGCCCTCTTTCTGGTTTGTGCAGTATATAGGTCCTCAATGGAAGGCAGGCTGGTTGCAATTGTTTTTTTCTGCAGTCCTAACTATCTGTTGAAGTCTGTGTCTGTCTTCTTTGGTAGCTGTGCCAAACCAGGCAGTTATTGAGGTACAAATGATAGATTCCATAATGCCTCTGTTGAACTGTACCAGTAGATCCTTGGGCAATCTAAGTTTTCTGAGTTGACGCAGGAAGAACACTTTTTGTTGTGCCTTTTTAATGATGGTTCTAATATTAGGTGTCCATTAGGTGTCCTTGGAGATTATAGAACCCAGAAACATGAAGGCCTCTACTGTTGATTCTGTGTTGTCTAATACGGTAAGAGGTGGTAGAATTGGAGGGCTTCTCCTAAAATCTACTATTATCATTACAGTTATAACAATGTTCAGCTCCAGATTGTTCTAGCTTGAGAGGCCTGGGACACAATTGTCCTCAGTCCCTGGCCTCTCCAAACATGCCAAGGGAGACCTATCATCCCCATCAGACGGTCCCAGTTCCAACTCCTACTCCTACTACTCTGAACCAGGCTCCGATGGGACCATGACAAGATACATGTATGCAGGTGTGTATTAAGCAACTATTAAAACCAGGAATTTGGATCAAAAATTTAGACATCAAATATTTTTCCTAAGCTTGGATTGGTTGCACTGTAGATAATGCTTAGATGTCATATGAAATGAATGTAAGTTAACTTGATATATACTCTGTCTCTATCTCTATCATCTCTGTCTCCATCTCTATTTATATTTATATCTATATCTGATTTGACCGATTCATGTATATAGTATTGTTCTCTCTTCTACTGAATATTATATTGGGACTAATATTACTTATAGTCTCTTATTTTCAGAGATCACATTAAAAGCAAATAAATTAAATTTCATAATTCAATTTATTCTGGCCTATAGGATAGCAGTAGTCGTCTGGGTTTGGAAGCTAAATAGGGATAACTCTGGTTACTCCTTGGAAGGGAAACTACCTGGAAACACCAGGACTGCAGGGTAGATTAAGAAGTTATAAACTGGAAGAAGACAATAGCAAAGTATTTCTGTACTGTTAAACAAACAAACAAAAAAAAAGAATGGGTACATCCATGAAATTAAGAGTACAGTTCAGCTAAAAGAGACACCACCTTTATATGATGGAACAAGGAGGTATCTATAGTGGGTGAAACAAAAGCCAAGCTTTGATATTTGTAAATTGAGCTACCTTCATTGCAAAATATACTTTGCAATTATACTGTACGTGGGCACACAAATGAGGCTTACGTTGCATTTGCCTGCAGCCTGATATGACCTGGTCATGAACTATATGGATAATTACAGTACATTCAGACTCTTGAGAACCATCTCTAATCTCTTCCTTCACACTATTTTTCAGGTGGAAGTGGGTGACACTGGGAAATCCAAGTCAGAAATCTGACTAGTAACTCTTATTGCAGTATGTTTCTGGCTGCAGAATATTCAGGGTTCATAATAAAGAAGGTCTTCTCTGAGATAATGGCCAAACTTTTATATGAGCTCTTGAGGAAGGTCATCACAACACACTTTCAGGTGACAGCTGAAAACAAATGTAAATATATGTAAAAATTACTCATTTCCTAGTACATGTCACATTTGGTTATTTCAAGCTGGTGGAAAAGTTGGATCTCTACTCAATTCTACCCTGAAGGCTCTTTGTAAGGTCAGAGTTCTGTGTTATTTTAAATGCACCATTGAGTATATAAATACACCATATTTATACATACTGCTTTGGATTTTTGGGGCCCAAGGTGTGGTTTATAAACTTTTAAAATAAATAATAAGTGCAGTTAATTTGCAAATCGTAGTAGTTCATTTTTACTTTTCAGTGTAACTTACTCAATGTTCAATTAAATGTCCCATTACTAATTGAACATTAAGCCTCCATTATTACATAATCCATTATTTATGACTTCACCCATTTACAAATCCTAATTTTTGTGCTTCAATAACAGCGGAATTGTTCAGCGGCAAAACAGTTTATCCTCTATGAACCCTATTGGTGTTGAATACCTCACAACGGCTGGCTCATATCTGATAGCTAACCCTTGTAGTTTTACAATTTTGTTTGATCAAACTGATTCAGACTAAATGAAATTTTAATCGAGTTGCACTTCTAAGGTTATTAAAAAAGAAATGAGCCCCGATTATCCATATTTCTCATTAAAAAGAAAGAACATCCTTCTTCTCGTTCCAATCTAATTCACCAGTCAAGATCTTTGGTTTTCAGATGTGCTTCCAATGTCTCCAAGTTTTATTCCCCAAAAAACATACAATATGATAAATAATTAAATACATTTGACATTATGGATTGAATCTTATAATCTTAGTTGAGATCCCAAGATTACATGTACTGATATTCTGTCCTTGCCAGCACATCTCTTTTCCCCTTGCTTACCCCCCCCCCGCCCCCATTTTAATATCTCAAAATAGTCCTGCATGAAGTTTGTAATTTAAAAAGGTTTTAAGAATGGATTGTAACGTAGGTTAGATGGAGAGGCACCAGGTCCTGGAACTTATTGTTAGTGGCTTTTACCTTTTGCAGAGGGGGCATTTAAGGGAGACAAAAAAAGTCAATATGGAGCCACACTTGCACACTTAAAGTCTAGTCTTTTTTTGTGTGCATCACAAGTAAAATGAAGGGGCCGGGTTTCATTTGCATGATTATGGCTACCATCAAGTCACTGATTTTTACATACAACTCCTGCCTACAGTAGAGCTCCCTTGAAAACATGCTTTGAATGGATTCTTACTGATAGGCTTTCCTGGCCTTGCTACCATTTTATTGTTGTAGCTCTGTAATTTATGACTACACTTTGTAACCTTAATGTCTTGCACAGGGAAGTAGCTTTTTTTTATGATGTCAGAGCTTCTTTCTAATTCCCTTATATTATTATATTCTTCTTTTTATGCTTCCACTACATACACATTGACTTCCTTGGATGGACTTGATCACAAAAGTTATGCACTACTTATATAATAAAGAACTCATAGCAACCTTGAAATTAAGAAGTAAAAAAAAGAAAAGTAGGCTCGTTCGCTTCCTCCATTTGGGGAGCAATCTTCTAATGAATTTGTTTGACTTTACACACACACACACACACACACACACACACTTCACAGACATACATGAACCTTGAAACTATTAGATAGTTGAAAATTGGTTTTAAAAGAGCAGTTCAACAGCATCTTGCTTTTCATCCAGTGACAAGCAGGCCATTATTGCTAATTAGAAGCCTGTAGCAACACAATCCTTCCCTGAGGAGTCAGAACTTCGGGGAAGGTGTGGTCGCCAGGGCTTGTGTTCAACATGCAGAGGTACAAAAGAAAATGTGAGTGAAGCTTCCAGTTTCCACCCACTCATCTGTGGAACATGTTGATGGAAAAGAACAATAATGGCCGATGAGATCGTTTGACAGCTCTTGGGAAATGCTGCCTGAAATCTACAAAAAGCTGGTGAGGATCAACGAAAGGCACTAAGAGGGACAGAAATGTTTAGATTTTTCAGAAAGTCAATACCCTCCCAGTGTTTGCCACATATAGATAGTCCTCAGTTAACGACAGCAATTGGGATTGGAATTTTGGTCACTAAGCGATGCAGTTATAAAGCATGATGTCATGAGATTATGCCACTTACCAATGGTAGTTTCAGCACTCCCGGTTACGACTGTTAGGTGAATCACTGTGGGTCATTAAGCAAGGACCTCTTGCTATCTTCCCCACTGATATTGCTTGTGGGAAAATGGCAGGTCAAATCTCAAATCATAATCACATGACCCCAGGATGCCGTGACAATCAGAAATCCAGACCAGTTACCAAGCACCTGTGACCACGGGGTCACTGCAACAGCCAAAACCTTGAGGGTAGGTTGTAAGTACCACTCGTTTACTGCCGTCATTGTTCTGCTATCACAGAACAAGTGGCTGTTAATCAAGGACCACTTATATTACAGGCACTGTTGTTCACAACCGTATGCTTGCTTGTGGGAGCTTTAAGACTTTGTAAAGCCATTTTGGCTGCAATGTAGCCGAGAAGAAAGTCCTGTCAAACTCACTAGAACTTACTTCAGAGTAAACGTGGCCAAAATTCCACTGAATCCAAGTCACCCTTTGTTTCTTCCCATTACAAAGTACTACTACTCTGATGAAGTTTTATGAGCCTGAAAAGAATACTGCTGGTATGCTGACAAGTAAACAAGGAGAATACTATTATCGTTTAAGTTCAGTTCTCTGCAAAAGGCAGGACATGTATTTCTAGTTACAGAGAAACCTGGGCCAGAAATAGATATTATACTTAAAGGAAAGTTGGAGATGACCTTTATTGGATGCCTCCAGTTCATTCATTCAAGTCTTTAGTGTGTCACCTGACCAGAATGGGGAATCTAGAATAGAACAGCTGGCAGAACTGCTTCTTCTACTAGGAGTGCATGGGGACTTTTTGAACTTTTATTATTCCAGCTTCTCTTCCCTCACCAAATTTATTCCATTGTTTGTTAGAGTTTGGAGGGTTGTCGTGCACATGTATGGGCAGTTGACAGGCATCCAAACCTTTTACATTATTTTTTTCCACTTTTCCATTGGGTTGGAATCCATAACAAGACAACAAGTAGGTGGTGATGGAGAACATTGTGGGAGGGCAAAGAGCTGATAGAAAACTACCTAATCCATTTTCCTTTTAAGAAATGTGTTTTTTGATGTTTTAATCTGGAGAGAGGAATTGCTCGGGCATTTCCCCTGGACCGCATCCGGAGCGAGAAGATAGGAAGAAGGGGAGAAGCAAATAGGAAGGTTGAGGAGAAGGAGGAGAGGGGGAGAGTGAGGAAGAAGAGGGAAAGAGGGAACTAGGTTAAAGGGTGGATGCGGTTTGGGGGGAAATGGGTGAGCAATACCGAAAGTTGTGTGTATCAATTTATTTTACTTTTTATCTGAAGTATTTTTATGAACGTAATGCATTGCAAAATTGAAAATAAAAATTTTTTACAAAAAAAGAGAAAGAAATGTGTTTTGATTGGCCATGCCCATCGTGTCAGCCATTTTGCAAGAACAATCTGCTCTCCAAGTTTGAAGGGTGCTCACAGTTCAAAAAAACTGCTTCCCCTACACTCTCATGTCACAAATTCTATACCGGTTTCCATCTAAACCTTCCTAAACCTGAGATTTTTATGAATTTAGGTGTTTTAACGTCAGGGGTCTTTTTTGCAAAAATGCAAAGGTATGAAGGTCCAAGAAATCCTGGGGGAGGGGAAATCAGCCCAATGGAAAAAAAAGATTATGAAAAATTACTTTATATAGTTAATATATTAAAATGATCTATATTTGGTAATCAAGAAATCAACCAAAGAAATTTGTCTCAATACCAAAACCTATCACTTCACAAGTCTGTGACAATAACAACAAATTAAAAAGTAGAAATCAATAATAAATATTATGTCAGATTCAAAAAATAAAAAATGATTAGTTTCCTGAAGCAAGATGTGTATTTTAAGATTTCTTCTCTTCTTTCTTTTCTCTCACATTTTTTTTCCCCTGAAAAGCAGTGCTTTCTGAAACAATTTCAGGCTAAAATTGTGCCCTACTTTTCATTGTGGTCGTTTTACTATAATGTTGATGATTTCTTCTGTTAACTTTTTGTCTCCCCATTTCTCCAAACATGCAAAAACAGAGAGAAGCAATATTCATTACACAGTAATTGTGGTTCAATTAGAACAAAAAAAAAAAATATCAAAATATTTTAAAGCAAATTCAGTTCTATGTTTATAACTGTAGACAGTATTTTTACCACTTCCCAGTTTATACCCTAAAACAAACTTCTTTTAACCATCCAAGTTATCCATGATATTATTGTATAAATATGATTTTATTGCTTTAAGGGATGTCAATTATTTGATATGTATTTCAACATTTCCGAAGATTTATGTTTTTTTGCCAAAAATAATGTGTCTCCCTTCTTCTAATTCTTGTCAATTTTAGAACTCTTCTGGAAAGCACTTCAGATATCTGAACTTCAACGAACTTCAAAGGGCAAAATGGAACATGGATTGACACTGTTTTTGCAACCCAATCTCTCCATTCCATTCCATTCATTTTTCACCCATCTATCCATCAACATGTATAGTTCTATAAACACTGGAGTTCCTCCAAGCATGCCAACGTGTGGGGTGCTATCTTCAAGATCCATATTTAGTGGCAGAAGGAAGTGAGAACCATGGCAGCATGGAGCATTTCCTTTAAGAATATTCCATTTTTCATTCCATTCTTGATTTTCTAAACCTTCCTCCATTCAGCAGTCAGTAGCAGTACACTCATTACTCCAGGGGTGTCAATCTGCAGGCCCACGGATCGGATGCATCATACTGAAACAGTGCCCACCCCATTGTCAGCAATGGAGAAAAAGTTTCAATATGTCGCGACACATCATGTGACGTTGCGAGTTTGACACTCCTGCACTACTCCCTAAACTGTCTTTTTTCACTTTTGTTTCTTTAAAACCTCTGCACGGTTTGTTGTTTTCCTATGCTTGCTGATATTTGTCTTTTCTTCCTAACTGATGGAGTTTTTGCTAAGTAATATCAGCACTGAGATAATCTAGGTTGCTATTACAGTAATACACATGGTGTTTTTTCTAAACAGTGACTGTAATGAAAAAAGAGTGGGAAAAATAAATAAAAGTAAAGTTTTTTTAAAAAAAATATAGCTGTATTTATAATAGGCATTCCCATGTAGTGCCATTTTTTAAAATCACAGTCAGCCCTAAATACAAGAGAAGCGAGCTAAGGTAAGGAGATTTTAAAAGATATCAATTGTCAAGATGTAATAGTCAGGATTTATATTTGTAAGGGAAATAAATTAGTTACTAGAATAAAAGTTTTGAATTATAACATAGAAGATGGATTCAGAGGATAAAAGTTATTTTATTAAGTAAGCGATAAATATGATTGTGGAATAAACTAAGAATGGATTTAAATAAATATAAGTGTATTTTAGAAATGATAACTATTTTGTAATGAACTAAGGGAACCATGGGCTATCCGAAATCTAAATACTATGGACATTAAGGCAACAGGAATACTGTAATTGAAATCAGATAAAAGTTAAAAACAGGATTTGAAGGCATATAAATCAAAAGTTGTCGATAAATGCTTCAAATGATTGAGTTATAACTAGCAATGTATTAATCTGAAATTTGGTATAATAACTAAGGGAAACAGAGAGGAAATTTTTGATGATGTGAACTGACATATATATGGAAAAACGTGTCATTGGACTATGTATTACCCAACCACCAAGTTTCTTCCTTAATACGTAAAGATTTGTTAAAATGGAAAATTAATAAAACTTGTTTAAAAAAAAGAGAGAAGCGAGCGAGGGAATTTCCATTTTTAAAATATTGAATCAGTCTTCCCTAACTTGATCTTCTCCTGCACTGAACTTCAACTGCCAACATCCCTTAGCTGTGTGACTCATAGACAAGAGTATTTGTAGCTCAGGATTGAAATGAGGAGCCCTTGGTACTCATTGAATTTGGTTGTTTTCTCACAGATGTTTCATTACTCAAACTAGGTAACTTCATCAATGCTACTCATGGATGTTGAATATAATTATCAGCATATCGTGGTACCTTGGTACTCAGCTGCTTCCAAATTCATCGGATTTGGTACTCAGCATGTTCTGAAGCAAAAATTTTGTCCCAGTGTTCATCTTTCTCCTGGTACTTGACACACAAAGTAGAACTTCTTGGTATCAGCTGCCTTGTGACTTGCTACGCCTTCTGGCTGAAATAAAGGATCACATGGTAAGTCACGTGATCTACTCAGTATTCATTGTTTTTAGTATTTGCTGCACCTCCTGGATGAATACTGAGGTACCCCTGAATCTAAAAGTTGCCAGGCTGGAAATGCCTGCTGAGGACATATGGAAATTTACAATGAATTTTACTCAGTTTACCATTTGTAAATTTTACCCAGTTCACAATGTTTTACCCAATGGGTACAGGAATCATTTATATGTCAAGTATTCATCAACCCCTTTTTAACATAGCATATAATTTTAATATTTCTCTAGGATTTCCCCCCACCAAAGAAAATTGACAAAATAAAAATTAAAGCTGGCAGTCAACTCTCCTGCAGAGCCATGCAGACTTCACGTTACAAGGAATGTGTCTTCCTTACTTTTTCACCTTACCTTTGAATTATATTTTGTAAGCAATTGCAGGTATCAGGGTGATTGTTGTAATACATGGGCGGTACCTTGGCATAGTGTCCTTCTCCACCCACCAAACCTTACGATAATCACCTAGAAATTCAGCCTTCTTTGTTTTGGGTTGTGCAACCCTTATTCAAGTTGCCTTTGATTGTGCTAAGTGTTGAAGGTGCCATGCAACATGACATGCCATAAAATACCCAGTCATATATATACAGTATCACTGTTTTCAGACTGCAAGAGCTAAAATAAGGTACTTTCAAACAAAGGGATTCATGCAAAGCCAACCCAAAATCATTGCACAGCTACTCCACCAGTTCTTTAATAAAATATATTTTCTAGGCAGAAGTTTGGGAAATGGTAATTCACTCTAATTTTGCAGGTGTCACCTGATATCAATAGTCCATAAATTCAATACGTTGTAAGATATGTGGATATGAATTCCTATTTCACACAAACTGCCAGAGGATTTTACAGGGCAATGTTTCAAGGTGATTTTCAAGATTCCATTTGGATCAAATATTCAAAGAGGTTTAAAGGAAGCAATACAAACCCACTGTATTAAAATTAGCAATGTTCAGAGATTTTCAGATTTTCAACATGGACCATCCTCACCAGCAATTAATAAGTGACTAATTGTGAAAAAGGTTAAGAAAGAGTTATATTAAAAACTAGTACAAGGTTGTAAGGATTCCATAGACTCTTAAAGTTAAAAAAGATATCTTAATATTTCTTTGTATAATTTATTTCACTACCTGATTAATTTGAAAGGTTGTAATTATTATATGTGATTAATTAAACAATTATAAATATAATTATATGCAATATAAATTGGTTCCTCAGTAAGCACGGCTGTTTAATTGAGGGAGGCCAGTCTCTCTGTTAGAACTTCATTTGTGAAACATTCCCTGTCACTCATCTTGACATGAAGATTTTTATGCCAATATTTTTATTCTTTTTAATTTTTTCTTATTGGGCATAGTGTTCTTTGTCATTTTTAGTTATTGTTTTATCATTGCTAATTTTGTTATTTTGCTGAATCTTTATACTATAAAGAGGGAATTTAAGCCACTCGGCCATAGCATTGGAGTGGCAGATAAGTCTCACTAAAATAAATAAGTAAATGGTTCTGCAAGATACAATCTGGGTCGGTCACCAGGGCCAGAGGCTTAGTCTTCTGAGCTTTCATATTCATGCTAGAACCCATCTCTTCTCTCTAGCACAGGGCTAGGCTCAGGGATTCTGGCTCAGGGATTCTGGGAGTTGAAGTCCACGAGTCATAAAAGAGCCAAGGTTGCCTACCCCTGCTCTAGCAGAATGTGTCGAATGTCTATTACATTCTGCTAGAACGTGTGTAGAATGTATAGAATGTGTACTACATTCTGATAGAATGCTGTGCAGAATGTGTAGTCTCTCTAGACTCCCTGCAACACAAGCCTGAAAGCTCAGAAGACTAAATCTCTGGTCCTAATGACCGATCCAGATTGGATCCTGCAACATTATCATGGGACATGTATATCTGCCTTCAATTCGTGATAAATGGTTATTTTTAATCTCCGGTCTTTAGGTTACATTGAGCAACTCTGTTGTATGAGCGTTTGAAACTGTCTTGTACTGTCAGTTCAAATTATTTGCCCAGCTAACCCACTATGATCTTTCCCATTCTTCTCTGAACCTCTTTACCTATGAGACCGTTGGTTATACTAGCTAGGAATTATGGGAGTTGTAGTCCAACATATTTGGAGGGGATGGGAAAGACTGGTCTACTTTGGCAGTCGTTCTCCAACAAAGTTATAGAAGCAATGTTTCAAATATATTTTTCAAACTCAAAGCCTGTCTTTGTTAGACATTTACAGATTCACTGGAAGCATTTCCAAATGTATTCCTCTCCCCATAATGTATGACATTTCCAAATGTATTCCTCTCCCCATAATATTGGCTTTGTCTTGTGGCCAGCCATAATATAGAAAACCTTAGCCTGCTGTTTTCTGTACTTTGGAACATTCAATCTGTCTTCCTTTGTGGTTCTGTCCCAATGCTTGATCAAATCTGCAGAACTTCCTGCATCCCTTTGGGTGAGGCATATTCATGTGACTAGACTAATGGTGGCGAACCTATGGCACGCGTGCCAGAAGTGGCACTCGGAGCCCTCTCTGTGGGCAAATGTGCCGTTGCCCCAGCCTTGCTTCCCCCCGCGATCCCCTCCTCAGCAGCAGCCCCCCTGGAGGAGAGTCACCTCTGAGCGTGGCCCATGCAGAGCAGCACAGCCAAGACATGGCTTCCAGGCAGCATAGACAAGACTGTCCTCACGCCCCATCCTGCTCAGTTGATGCTGCGGGGCGTGAGCAGAGGGCATGGCCACCATGGCACTGCTGGGCAGGTGGGGTGGGAACGGGGCAGGGGGTGGAGCAGGAGCGGGGCCAGTTTTTGGGCACTCGGTCTCTAAACGGTTCACCATCACTGGACTAGACCAACCCTGCTCATGAGTGGAATATTCTTATGCCCCAATGACATTTTAGGGGGTCTGTACTATGAGACGAAAGAGAAAATAGACATGCTATTGGCTACCTCAATCAATCAACACCATCGCAATATTTACCCACCCAGCCATGTGGACAATATAGTGGTTGGCCATGTGGAAAATCTACAAAGTAGTAACAAGAGTAGGGACACCTTATCATTACGTTGACAGGACATTACATCAACACAATAAGGGCTGGGCTCTGCTACTCTTCCCTATTATGGAGAAGCTCTCACAGTGGATGCAAACAATTTGATCCATCAAATGTTAAGCAAAGTAGTCCAGACTTGCCCAGTCAGGTGGATAATGTGCTAAACAGTTAAAGAACAGCTGGATATTCTCTACACTTGTACTCTTGTTGTCCAATCAGAAGTAGTAGGTTTTATGATGTGCCAATTTATTTCCTTACACTCCCTTTTTTTCTTTTAACAATGGTTTTACTTTTGAACATTGGCAAGTGTACCTCCCTACTTCTGTGCAATAGAAAGCTTCATCTGTTAGGTTTTGCACAAGTAACATTAAAGGCAGAACATGACAATGTTTTTTTTCTGGTTGGCTGGCAACCATAAACCTCTTTCTCAGCAACATTAGCATCCAATATAAGATGTAGAATGCATACTTAAAGGCTTCCCAATTTGTCAAGATCAGCAGAGGGAACACACGGGAGTCCTAACCTTGTTGATCTCATCACTGCCTATTCGACGATTTGGAGATCTACACTGAACTGCAGGGCCACATGTCCCTCTTCTTGTCTTGATAAACTATTTCCTCCGGAATGGGACAACTTGCCACAGCCAACATGCTGTGGCCAACTCACTATGGCCAATTTGCTACAGCCAACTCACCCGGGGACAATTCAACAATTCAATTTAATTACTCAAAATCATTTAAAAATATTTTAATTTTTGTCATTCACATTTCATTCTGTCTCTCCTTTTGCATCCTTTCTTTAATGATCCTATTCCACTATTTCTTCGCTATTAGTCTAACTCTTATTTGTGGCGAGTTGGCCCATGGTGAGTTGTCCTGCAGCGAGCGGGCTGCAGCAAGTTGGCCATGGCAAGTTGGCTGTGGTGAGTTGTCCTAGAGTAGACCCTATTTCCTCTGGCTATACTGCTGTTGAGACAGAATGATACAAAGGGACCTTGGAGTCCTAGTGGATGATCACTTGACTATGAGCCAGCAGTGGTGCAGCAGCAAACAAAAAAGCTAATACAATTCTGGGTTGTATAAACAGAGGCATAGAATCAAGATCACACAAAGTATAGTACCGCTTTATAAAGTCCTAGTAAAACCGCAGCTCAAATACTGCAGCCAATTTTGGTCACCATATCACAAAAAATTGTTGAGAGTTTGGAAAAAATTCAGAGAAGAGTAAATAAGATGATCAAAAACCTGGAGACTCAAATATACAAAGAATGGCTGCGAAACTTGGGTCTGGCTATTCTAAAGAAAAGAAGAAATAGGGGAGACATGATAGCAGTATTCCAGTATCTGAGGGGCTGCCATAAGGCAGAGGGGGTCAGGTTGTTCACCAGAGCACCAGAGAGCAGGACGAGAAACAATGGTTGGAAAGTGATCAAAGACAGAAGCAACCTGAAATTAAGGAGAAACTTCCTGCCAGTGAGGACA